CCGGGACCTTCAGCAGTTTAGTATTGATCAGATCAATGCTAAGCAGATGTCATACCCTAGACCACACGCCCGTTTGTTGTTGGAGAGCAGGGTGTGTTGTGAGTAGATGTTGCTAGTAACAAATCACGCAGAAATGATGTTGTGGATCTGTGGTCTGTGGCCGGCTTTTGACCATTGATCCACCCAAACCCAACGTCTTATGTCATAGTATCCCCATCGCTCTCATAACAGTTAGTTCGGTAGAGACATTTCGAGCGTTCTGAAAGAGGCAGGTAGGGTAGGCGTACAATCATGGAGCAGGCCACAGAGACTAAATCCTCTTGGCGCTCAGCCCTTGCGGGTCGGTGATTCCATGTATCCATCTGTGCTTCCAGAACATCGGGCTTGATAGCAACCGATGTGGCGGTTCGCCGATGTCCAGCGCGACACGTTTACCAATGCAAGGGATGGGCTCTGTCATGCGCGTGATGTGATGCGAAGAACGCATCAGTAAGACGTTCAACAATGAACTAGAGTCTCGACACACACGCGTGCTCCAGAGCTTTGGAAACATGGACAAAGGTCGGCACGTGGGCCCAGCTCGTGAGGCCTTATTCAGACCCGGATCCGGAGCGAAGCCCAGGAACTTGTGTCTTTCTGATTTATGATGGGTTCTGTCAGTACTCGGAGAGGAGTGGCTCGCTGTCTTACATCTGAACACGAGGAGAGGAAAGGTAGGCCCTGCATACAGGACGAACTGTCGGAGGTAAGAAGACGAGCTTGCAAGCGCCCAGCCGATGGTGTATGTGAGAATGACTAGCAGGGAATCTATCGATGTGGGAGGTGTCGTTAAGCTGTCCATCCCATCATTCTGGCACGGCGTACCGCCCACTGCAACGGACCAGACTGATTAGCTGGTTGGTGGTCATTCTGGTGGTGTGGAACATGCCAGTTGGTGAACCGTCTGATCAACGTCTCCCCTGATCGATCTGATATATCTTCTTGTTCGCGACACCACGCCAAGCCTATGATGGCGCCGGGGTCCCTACCATGTTGGTAGCAGCCTATCGCCGAGGGGCTCTTCGCTCGCAGCCGCCACCAACGGGTGCAATCGCTGGATAAGGAAGAGACGTGGCGGGAACATGGGATCCGTCGGGATCACCGCTCATGTGTTCGATTCGATCCGAGGCTGCAGCGGGCATGTGTTTGTACGGGCGATGCATTCTTGTAGATGGAGAGAGAAAGGGAGAGAGAGAAAGAGTCTGCAAGCTATCTAGGGACCTAAGGTAGGTACCTAAGGTAAGGTCGGTAAGGTACCTACCTACCTAGGTAGGTAGGTACCCATCTACCTGACCTTGGATAACGTCAAAGGGTTTGCATTGGTCCGTGTGGTGTTCGAAAAAGCCCCTTTCTTCCTTCCTCCCTCTTTCGCACTCAGAAACATGGTCGCCCACCGCATCTGGACGTGCCTCCCTAAGGTGCCTGCCTACCTCACCCAGGCAGGTAAGATATCTTGGTAGACATAGATGGCACATCGCCCAGCACTAGGCCTAGACCATATTCACTCTACCGGCCCTTGATGCTGCGGCATCAGTCAGTTATTCCCTCGACTCGTCTAGACCTCGACGCGCCACTAGAATTTTATTCAGAACCCCATCTGGAAGGCGTCGCCATGCGTCGCTGCAGCGTTGGCAGTCGCATTCCATCGTTCCCTTCTTCCACACACCACCAGAAGTTCTCCCTGACAGATCAAAGAGGACTACATGTCTCGCAACTTTCCATGTGAGCCACCGTTTCGCCTGAGTATTGTATGCTACGTATCCTGCAAGATCTTTCTCAGCTAGGTGCCAATCCCAGATTTGCCTACCAGGCCCTCAACACCATCTTTGGGACCCTGGACACAAGTGGCTTGATCACCGGAGTGACCGCTCATCAAGCTCTATCGCTCATGCCTTGGCCATATCCATGAGCTTCAATCAGATCCTTACTTTAACTTAAAAGGGTTCATGACCCTCTCATTATCACAATTCGTCTCGAGCACCTGCAACAGGCCCCTTAACCAAGCTTCTCACCTCCGTCTTGACGCGATTCAAACTCTTTCGTCACTGTACCTCCAGTATCATCGACTGCCGCCAACACACATCTGCTCCAACAGTGTTGCTGGATAGCAGAAAAAGTGACCCGGCAAAGACGTTGCTTTTACCCAGAAGCCCAACATGAAAACCAGCTTCGTGCTCAATGGTATTAGTGCCCTCTTGAGCATCACTGGCGTCACCGCAGCTCCTGCTACGAATAGTAAAAATGACGATAAAGCTTGCTCATCTGGCCCAAAGCCCAGGGTATCCGTCAAACAGGTCGGCTATTCAACTCTCTCTTTCACTCCACCTGAACACTGTGCCTAACGCATTCCAGGTCTCCAACTTTTGCGAGACGACACCCGGAGTCAAGTCGTACAGCGGATACGTCACGCTTCCACCTAGTACAAACTATCCCTTCGAGCAGAATATCTTCTTTTGGCTCTTTGAATCACGCAGCCGGCCCAAGTCCGACCCCTTGACTGTCTGGATCAACGGCGGGCCCGGCTCGCCCTCGACCGATCAGGCTCTCGGTAGCAACGGCCCCTGCCGTGTGCAGCCCGACTCAAAGACGACGAAGCTCAACGCCGACTCATGGAATAACAAGGCTAATTTGCTGTACATCGACCAGCCGGTACAGACGGGATTCAGTTACAATAACGTAACGCCCGGTCGCCTGGGTTTGATCGGTGGATTCGTATATCCTGATGGCACTTCGGTTCCTGATTATGAGACCGTTCTTTTCGACGGCAGTTTCTCGACCCAGGACCCAAGCCAGACGCTGAACACCACGCAGAGTATTGCGCGGGTTCTGTGGGACTTCATGCAAGTCTGGCAGGGAGAGAAAAAACTGAAAAGACTACGTCCGGCCTAGTATCAACTTCTGGTCACAGTCATAGTACGTGCACGCCCCCGTTCTCCCCCTATCTTGCGGTGGCCAAACCTGCTTCAATTGTATCGCCGATGCACAAAACTAACCAGTTCCTAGCGGTGGTCCCTACGTGCCTGCCATTGCGACCTACTTTGAAGCGCAGTCTAAACTTGCGACGGCCGGCAAGCTGCCACCCAATCCTCGTATTTGCGCTCGCGCCAAGTCTATCCGCATCGCCACCGTCGGCATTATTGCCCCTTTCATCGACATCGTCGGTCAATTTGCTGACCTAGAATTCGCCTTGAATAATACCTATGGCATTGAGATATTTGATCCAGCTACCGTGGACAACCTGGTCGAGCAGGCTGAGGCTCCTGGTGGCTGCTTCGATTTGATCGATGACTGTCGCAACATCACCAACAGGCTCGACCCCGAAGGCTGGGGGAACGCTCCCGAAGTCTACCCAGTCTGCAATAATGCCTTCTTCACGTGCTATCAACTGATCGAGAGCCGATACGAGGCCACAGGCGTGAGTTGCCATCTGTTTCCTCCCATTCACTTTCCCAAGAGCGATGCCCAAGCTGACGACGCTCCCCAGCGCGATTCCTTCGACATCACCCAGCCAGCAGCCGCCCAGTTCCCTCCCCCCTATGCTTATGGTTTCCTCAACCGCCAAAACACGCAGTCCCGCCTCGGCGTGCCCGTGAACTATACCGCCTTCTCACCGAGCATCCAATATCCCTTCTTCGCCACGGGCGACTTTCTCCTGTCGTTCGCGCCTCACGTCGAGCGCCTCCTCGCCGCCGACATACCCGTCCACCTTATCCATGGCGACCGTGACTGGCGCGCAAACTGGATCGGCGGCGAGGCAGTAGCCCTCGCGCTCGCCCACCGCAACCGCGCCCGCTTTGCCGCCTCCGGCTACGCCCCGCTCTCCGTGCTCGGTGTGCCCGCCGGCAAGGCAGGCCACGTCCGTCAGGCCGGCCGTCTCAGCTTCTCCGTTGTCACCAACGCAGGGCACGAGATCCCGTACTACCAACCCACGACCGCCTACACCATCTACCAGCGTGCCATCGAGGGCAGGGATGTCGCGACTGGTAAGCAGGCTATTGGCAACGGGGACAAGTACGCAACGAGCGGGCCAAAGGACATTCGGGGCGCGCGCACGCCGCTACCCCCCAAGGCGCCCGTGTTCTGCTACACCGCCAGCACGCCCATCGTTCGGGGCCAGTGTACAGATGCGCAGATTGCGGCGCTGGCGGACGGGACGGCCGTCGTGAAGGACTTTGTCGTCGTGCAGCCTGCGTGGAGCGGGTAGACGACGGGGGTAGGGTTCCATACAGAAGCGTCTGGGGAGGGGGATGTACACGTACCTACGGAAGTGACAGCCTACAGCTCAAACATGACAGCTGGATGACGGACGGCCAAGGGCGACGGCCAGGTGGCGCTTCATACAGACGCCCGTTATTGCACATGGCCGTCGCAATAGTATAGCTAGTGAACCATCGATAGGCTTGATTAAGCATAGCAAATGGGACGCACAGATTCACACGACGAGGCGACAGACTGCACGTAGTTCGTACAAGCAGCAAGCACAACAAAACTTTCCAAGGTGGTGAAGTATGCATCATGTCGGTTCATTGTTGGTCTACACCAAAAACAGGCATCTATCCTGATGATGGGCAGCGCCTTTATCTTCCTCTCGCCGCTCACGAGCCAGCGCGTCGCCAGTCCACATGTATGCAATCAAAAAAAAAAGCCTTTGCCGCCCCCTTCGTTCGCAAGCAAGTGAAATAGCCTCCTTCTCGCTGGGGGCAAAAAGGTCATCAACGCCAAAGCCACTCTCTATTATGGCTCCCATCATGAGTCGTTACGTATTGAAAGCCGTGGTATCAGATCGAATCAGTCGTATATGGAACACCTCGGCTGAGCGTTCATGGGCCCAGCCGGGTAGACTTTTCGGAAAATAGCAAGTATCGTCATCCGATGGATCAAAAAGTCTCCGTCGTTGACATTGGAGATTGTTGCAGACGAGCTCACAAGAAGCCGCCCTCGGTAAAGCCAACGCCGGCTCGCCAGCCACAGCGCTTCTCCCATTCCTCACGGTCCATGTCCCGCGGGCGCGGGGGGGCGCCCCTAGCGTTTAAAGTACCCCTCGGTGCTGGTGATGGATTTCGGTCGAACTCGATGCTCTCGCGACTGCTCCCGCCGCTCACGTTCGTCTGGACTAAGAGTAAGCTGCTGGTGCTGGAGAGGCGCTTGGTAAACTCGGTGAAGCTCAGCCGCTTGGCACTCGAAGTGGACTGGCGCTTCTCCTGGTTCGGCCGTGAGCCTCCATCTTCGGAAGTCTTACCGGATGATGGCATTGGGACGTCCAGTCTGCCCTGTGGTACCAGCTGGGGTTGACTGTGTGTTCTTTGCGCGACGCTAGGGCTGAGCTTCGAGTGGGCGGTATGGGGCCTGGATGGGGCCTGCAGAGGTGTTTCGTGGTTCGTAGTGCTTCGCGTGGTGGATGACTGAGAGGCCAACTGCTGCTGCTGATGCGCCAATGATTGCGATGAGGTGCGCTGCTGACGCGGCGGGCCCGCGAGATAGTTGAGGGCCCGCTGCGCATTGGGTGGGATGAGTGTTTGGCGGTTTCCGTCAGCTTCGTGGGCGTATTCGTCCGACGACGAGTCTTCATCGTCCTCCTCCTCAGCCGAAGAGCTGTCATCCACATCCCAGGCACTTTGTAAGGCTGCTCGCTCTGTCTCCTTTCGCTTCTCTATCTGCTGACGCTTTTCGTCTGCCTCGCGCATCAGAGCATCAAAGCGAGCCAGTGAGGTTAGTTTCTCTTCTCCGGGCACCTCCCGTTCCGAGCCGGGAATGCAGCGGAGCTGGAAAGCTCGGTCGAGGATTGTCTCTCGTGCCGCGGGTGGCGAGCTAGAGTTGATAGCCGCGGGGTGTAAGGCCTGAGAGCTGACACTTCCTCGACCTCGAATTGGTGAGCTGACAGTCGAAGATCGTCCCTGTGCCGCGGTCCAACCCTCAATCAGCTCGCCTTGCTGATACTCGCCCACGGTGGCCACCGGGGATGGAATGTCAGTTGGGAGGACGGTCGTGTATTTATTGAGATCGGGCATGGCATAGCCCATGTGCGCTGGGTGTGAGGCACTCGAAGGAGACGATATATCACTTCGCTTGGAACGCAGGCTGGGAGACTCTGAGCTGAAAGTTACAGGACGCTCGCGACCCGAGTGATGAGTCGAGTTTTTGTGCAGAAGAGCCGATCGAGAATTGGCATTGCCGCTTGACGGACGCCGGGTAATACTTCGTTCGTATGGCGCGCTGCGGGAACGGGTTGATAAAAGACGGCGACGCCGGGCTGTCCGGGCTCATGGGGGCGGTCTTCTTCATCAAGATGAAGCGAGCCCACTCATGCAGACTGATGTGGTGGTCGTCTGGAGGGGTTCTGAACCAGAGTGTGGTGGCGCTGGGCTCTTTGCTTGAGATAAGGCCTCCAGCTCTGCTAGAACGGCGTTTTCGCTCCTTATCATTGATCGTGACAACGAGGGTGGGAAGCACCGGTCCCTGTTTGCGATGTGCGACCATTTGCACTTGGCAATCGACAATGGCGCTAATAGGGTACTGGTGGGTGGGCTCCCAGTCATCCTGCAAGTTTGGAAAACTTAGGTTATGGCCCGAGTACTCCGAAGCCGTGAGCCTTACCTTGGACTTGTACACAGATATGCAAGGATCCTCGGTGGGCAATGGCTTAGAGGGGGTTTTCGAGGAGGAGGAGGAAGAAGAATTGGTAATGCGACTGGTCGTCATGACCTGCGCGAGGCTCGGACTGGGCTGCTGTTCGAGTTTGTCTTGCTTATGGGCGTTGCGGCGGCCTACGACGACATATCGCGGCTGTGAGGACTCGATTAGCAGAGCACTTCCAAGGGAGGGAGAGAGGAAGGCTAGGTAGGGTGTGCAACACACCTTCCAGACTGCACGACCGAGAATTTGACCTCTCTCGGGAGGAATCAACAGGACTCCCTCGCAGGATTCCATGTTGATCGGATTTTGAGGTCCTGGGAGGTCGTCGTCGTCGTGGTGGAGGGCGGAAAGGAGTCGTCGTGAGGAAGGGGGTTCAAGGATCACGAATTAAGATTAAATCGGCATTCTGAATGCTGGGGAATTCCGCAGACAGCGAACAAAAGCAACCGTCAGGCTGATTGGCTATGTATGAACAGACCAAGGGAGCGAAAGAGGCGAAGAGAAATTCGACAGCCTCCGGGGCTCCTTGAGTGTACGAACGAGCAGCGTGGCGGCGGGCGGCGACAAAGGCCCAGTGAGGGGGGTTTGTGTGTGGTTCGATGGGCTTGACGTCGTGTGGAGGGGGGGACGAGGCGCGCTGCTGGATGCGGGCTGCAGTAGGAGATGTCGAGGTTGGCAGTGCGGAAGAGAGAGGCCGACGACGACAAGGTGGATGATGGGGATGAAGTTGCCTACCAAGGGACGACGGGGAGGAAAGGAAATGTGAGGTGCGGCCAGGTCGGCCGAGAGTTCGTCAAAGTCGCCGGGCTAATGAAGTACCTCAGGTACCTTTTCCCTCTGCTTGCAGTGTCGGATTGGTATTATTGTTCTTTTTGATTTGATTGCGAAGCCAGAAGTCACGACTAGCCCCCCGGCTGTTGCCTCTTGATGCTCCAGCACACTTGCCCGCATTTGGTTGCATTGGGGGGGTCTTGGGGGGAAAGTGCTTCCGGGGGGCCCCTGTATTCAGGTACCGCGAGATCCACTGGGCCCGATCGCTATTGCCCGCTTTTCCTGCAAGCAGAGAAGGACCGTTCACGGACGGACGCAAGTGGCGGACGAGCAGGTGAGCAGGCTGGCAGCTCCGAGACGAATTTCCATTTCGTGGAACTTGCTTATGATGACCAGGTAGGAACTTGCCTAGGTACATTGCTGCTGCCATCTTCAGCCAGAAACCGTGGTGGATCGGGAGGCGGCGGCACAGCGCACAGCTCACAGCGCCCAGTTCACAGCACGCCAGGCGAATGGGAAACATTCGTCACATATCTACATCTTCACGCTGTCTCGATGTTGCTTCTGTCAGACTTGCCTTCCCAGCCCACCTGCGTCCCCGACGTCT